TTATTTTCGACAGAGAGCTTAGACTTTTTACGCAGTAGCCAATCAAATTCTTTCATTTCGATCATTATTTGCTGCTTTTTTGTTTTTATGTGGCTTTTCCAAGTAAGTCTGCTATCTAAATGGAGACCAAGATATTTCACTATGTTCTGTTTCGGAATATTGACGTTATTTAAATAAATTGGAGGACACGTACCCTCTCTCAGGGTAAATGTGATATGAGCTGATTTGGTTTCATTTGCAAATCTTCCATTTGGCAAGTCAAATATAAATACAAAACTGGCAATCAAATCTTACGAAAAACAAAACCCGTACGTTATTTTTATTTATCTCACTTACGCTTACTTTCATTTTTATTTTACTCTGGCACGACCTGCTAAACTCCCACAATTTCTTGAAGTTTTGGTAAGTAAAATGAGACATAGATCAGTTAAAGTAACGTATTCTGGCAATCGTTTACTATTTATCCTCTGCGTTAGATTAAACAGCGCCCGTGTAACTTTGTTCAATCCCAAGTAGCAAATATCCTACGACGATTTCATTTCATTTCGCGTTCCGGCACATGTACATGTCATCGTGCAAAGCTCGAGATCCACTCCGTCGTCCTGCGGGTGCGTTCCGGCGTGTGATGTCGGGTGCGGTAAGGAGAATATTTAATCCGGGGTGTTTAAGCCGGAGCGGCCCAAATTAAACGGTCCTTAGAGCTCGGCATTCGGCAAATATGCGACAGATACAGGGTGTCGTCGACGCACGGACATTAATTTCAAACGTAATCGCTTGTTACACTTTATTCAGAGTAATCCCGTCTACCAGGTCGGAGGAGGCCACGCAACGCCGGCACGCCGCTAGCCTGGCTTCCGTCAATTTTCAAAGAGAGAGTTATTTAATGCGATACTAAAATACGGATTCCAAAAATATTTATTGTTTGGGACACCCGGGTGTTATGGAAGTCAACCTAGGTTAATCCAAATGATAAATATGCATAAAGCTACAAAGGTACTCACATATTACACCGATATTAAAACTTTCATAAGATAAAGGTCAATATTTGTACAATATTGAAGTATACTCGTGTTAATATAAATATAAGTAACATAAAGCTATTTAAATTTTATTTAAAGCAAAATCATAATGCATTTATTCAAAAAACCAAGTGTTAATTGAGTTTCCTTATATTGAAGTTATTTTGAAGTAAACCGCTTTTTCATTATTGTTAATATAAGGAAATTCAGAGGGTAATTAACGTAATCCTTCGTCTCAGCTTCTCTTAACTATCCTACCGCAGGCGCTCTTGCCAGCGGCAACTATTAAAAGACGTGACTGGTAATATAATCTAGGTTGAAAACAATATATGGAAAATAGTTATGGAATAATTAAACAGACATATTTATCGGAAAGTTTGTTAAGAATTCTATAAATTTCTATCACAGTTCGCGTTATTCGTTAAATATATAATGATCTCGTGTCCATGCTTTTGTCATTAAATTCTTCTAAACATTAGAAGTTATTTTTGCGACTTTTAAGTTCATTCTAGAACAGTTTTTGTATAAAATTGCATTTGCTTTTTCAAAATTTAAATCGTGGAAAATAATGCATTTACCAGCGAATCCAATGAGCTCATTTCGTGTTTCTCGCCGTTTCAAGTCATTCAGAACCTACATCAAAATTTGAAAACTCATGCATGTGTATAAATCAATATTAGACCTGAAAAATGACTCCACTAATTTCGAGTATTTATTTTTAAGCAATTCGATAAAACTCGATGGTTAGTTATCTGAAACGATCGACCAAGCCGTTTCTTTAAAATTAGTTGATAAGTGCAAAATTTTACAGAGTTTGAGCAATAAATTCTGCACCGATTTTAATAATTCAGTTGCAAATAATTAATTTTAAATGTTGATTATCCGGATCATGTCTTTATGATTTGTTTTTTTTAAAGATTTTGATACAATTCTGAATACAAAATTCATGGTATTTGATCATTCTAAAACATTAAGAGTCTACAAAAAATTAAATATTTGATTGTCACAATTTTTCAAAATCTCAATTCCTATTGATTCAATACATTATTTCCACATACATAAAAGTTTTTGGTATTTGATCATTCTAAAAAACATTAAGTAAATTCATGGTATTTGATCATTCTAAACATTAAGAGTCTACAAAAAATTAAATATTTGATTGTCACAATTTTTCAAAATCTCAATTCCTATTGATTCAATACATTATTTCCACATACATAAAAGTTTTGCTTCTTGCCTTAAGGCACTATGCCACATTAGTAAATAATTTTTGACTAATTTTGAACTAGGAAATAATTTAAGCTCATAAATTTATTGGCATTTTATGAACGATTAAATCCAATGTAGTTCAGTTTATCCTAAATAACATATTCAAATAAAAAAGACTAGCTCGTCACATTGTTCGCAATGTTCTGCTAGAAAAACGATCCCCCCGTAATTGCAGCCAGATATGGAGTCGACCTAACGAAGCCCCACCGACTGGCTGACTGCACGTTGTCATGTCCGCCGCGTTCTCTCTAGTATCGTTTCGCAGGATCTGGGATTTAAATTAAATTCCCGACTATATCTAACGGAATTCTGTCAAAGTACACAGATACATATAAGCGAACAAGCATTTCTAAATATATATCTAGTTAGTTCAAATAACAAGAGCCCGCGGGGAAACGTTGGATTAATCTATTGATCCGATCTGATAATGTATGATCTATATGTAACGCAGATTACTTACGTAATATCGAGTGTGCAAACTGAAACTATGTGATTGATAAGTGGACATATATCGACCAGTAGCAATTTCTTAATAATAAATAATAAATTATATTTTAACTAGGACAATTATTGGCTGAACAATCTGAGAACATTAATTCGTTTAAGCTGTAAGTCGACGTATATTTGCCAAATTTGTTGATTTCACATTTCAACAAAGAGATACAAAATGATTCTCGAGCTAATGAAGATGAAACCATCAGACCCCAATAATGTAATTAAAATAAATTCTGTACTTTATGCATTTAATATCAACTATGTGTGTAATAACATATAGGTCAGGGCCGGGCACACAGGTCCAATTTCATCCTCGTACTGTCTAAACCAAATGAACTATATCATTTAACACCAAACTATCAAACTACGCTCTAGTGAATTCCTAATTATGTAAAATCGCATTTTTAACATTTTTCTAAAATAGTCTTCCTGGGGGCAAACAGATTCAGTGCGAAACTTTTAATTTTGAATGATTTTAATAAATAATTCAGTCAACGCAATATATGAATTTCATGGGCAAGTTATTACAAAGATCACTCTATCTGACCTTAACCAAAAAAATACCAACGAAAAAAAAACTTTAGTTAGGAATATTGACTGTTTTTTACATACATAAGTTTTGGGATAATGGTGGAGCTTTTAAGCCGCGGAGATTGAAGTTTTTTATCCGCTCTAGCATATTTAGCACTTTCTAATAAACATTCGCTGGTTTAGATAATTTTAGCAGAATAGTTTATAATAATTGATTTCAGATATTGACTAAGTTCGTTAGTTGTTATTAGGAAACAGTGGCCCAATTTAATTTAAATTTATGACAAAGTAAGTAACACAATGTTTTAAAATTGTTTTTACTATTTTCTTTACAATATTAACAAAGTTCTCTAAATGCTAATCCCGTTGTTACTTTTTGTTATTGTTTTTTCCTCCTTGCTTATCTTGAAAACTTGACGATAACGTTTTATACGTTGAAGTTCTGGTCTCAAGGATTTGTCAACAAGAACTTTAGCAATATCGGACTTGGATGCAGTTCCGCAAAATAGCCGGAGAACAACATTGGCTCAATGAACGAAAAAAAATATTAGTAAAATAAGAAAGTTTAGATGAAATAAAATAATGAGCAAGATTGCTTCACTGTGAAAGTTTAATATGAATGAAAACAAAATAGATTCAAAGTAATAATAAAATGTAAGCAAAGCTTACATAGTAATAATATTTTATCTACGACCTTGAGTAGATACATTGTATGATAAATTAGTTAATCTTAAGTTCTGTGTAAAAATACCTAATTATTAAACCGTACCAATGTACGTTAAAGAATTATATAAAAAATATATATTTAAATGATATCTAGTTTTAATAAATAGTGCTGTATTTTACCGTTTTATTGGCAAATATAAAATATTGAACTTAAAGCAACTAATTTTTAATACGTGTTATAATATTAAATTTTAATTGTAGTTGTATTACTTTTTATTGAAAATTTCATGTAAAAGGGATTGATATCATCAGCAAGCAAATAATTAGCATGCTATTATATAAATATATACACACACACACACATATATATATATATATATATATATATATATATATATATATTATAGTTCATAAGCAAAAACAAAAGCAAAACTACAGATTAGTTATTTATTGCTACTAGTAAGTTTTTATTCTAGGAAATAGCGTCATTTCTATCATCTGTCATAGAACTTTATACGAGAAGATAAAGGTACTGCAAACTTCTGTCGCGCCAAACGTCTGTGATTTTGAAACTTTTGTAATTCAATATCGTTATACAAAGACTAACAACGATCGGGATACAAAACTTGTATTTTCACAGAGAATAATACATGACTGATTTTACTTTAGTATTAATCCAAGATACGTCAATTATTTGGTGGGTCTTGAAAACATTAAAAAAAATATATATGGTGGAGAAAATGTCAATATGTTTCTTGAATGAAACTTAGAAACAAATATTATGATTCAGAAATTTCATTTTAGACAAATCACAGCTTTACTCATATTACAAAATTAAACATCAGATTTTATAACATTTTAAATACTTGATTTTAATAAATTTTTTGTATAGAAAAATAAAAAATCGGCGAGTAACAAGTAAGTAAGTAAGCTCATTTTAGACACGCCCATAGATGATAACATGAAGAAATAGAGTTAAAAATAAACAATTCCGACACTAAAATTAATAATTTGACTCACCATTATGAAACTATTGTAAATTCAAGAAGGGTGTGATCGAGCAAGCCTGCAACAATAATTAAATATTATTATTTTAAAATAAAATTGCATTATAACACCAGATATTTATATATAAATTATATAAAGGTTTCAAAATATAAATAAGGTTTTAAATACTACATAAAGTTTCTTTTATGCACGATATATAGAAACTAAAAAATTAAAGAAATTTAGGAAATACAAATTATTTACAAAACTAATCATTATATCTGGTCCTTCGAGGTAATAGAATGGATGTGTATAGTAGTGCAATTAATTACTTCTAATAAACATTGCGCCGGGCGTCTACGGAATATTTGTAGCTGCTATTAATAAATTATTCAAGAACATCGATAAAATTATTTAATTAAATAACTAAAATCTAAATAGAAATGAACTTATATATCTATATTTTTAAATAATTAACAATTTTTATATAAATTCTTAAAGAAAGTTTTCACTTATATCCATAAATGTGACGTAAGAATGTGATTTGCGATTTATGTTATCAGATGGCATTAATGAATTTTCTAATGTCAGATACTAATGGAAGTAATTTTTTGTTGTATTGTAAGACATATCATTTGTCATGCTTGGTTGGAAATTGATAAACTTTGTCGTCCATCCGCCCGTCTGCACGTCAATGTAACGAAAATTGCGGTTGCCCCTCAGACACCGCAAACCGTGGTAGATGCACGGAAGTCCATTTCAAGCATACAATGCTCTCTGCTTACAATTCACCATTAATTAAGAGGCCGATCCGGCATTGTATCCGGGGGGACCTTGTGACAAGGGACATCATCCCCACGGCGACGAGGTTTGGGGCTTCGAGGACGATAAATATATACAATTCCAGCGAGAAGAGAGCACTGTGTTATTCTAAAAGTAGGATAGGGCATTGAAGGGATGTCCTTCGAGGTAATAGAATGGATGTTGTATAGTAGTGCAATTAATTACTTCTAATAAACATTGCGCCGGCGTCTACGGAATATTTGTAGCTGCTATTAATAAATTATTCAAGAACATCGATAAAATTATTTAATTAATAACTAAAACTAAATAGAAATGAACTTATATATCTATATTTTTTAAATAATTAACAATTTTTATATAAATTCTTAAAGAAAGTTTTTACTTATATCTCTAAATGTGACGTAAGAATGTGATTTGCGATTTATGTTATCAGATGGCATTTATGAATTTTCTAATGTCAGATACTAATGAAGTAATTTTTTGTTGTATTGTAAGACATATCATTTGTCATGCTTGGTTGGAAATTGAAAACTTTGTCGTCCATCCGCCCGTCTGCACGTCAAGTAACGAAAATTGCGGTTGCCCCTCAGACACCGCAACCGTGGTAGATGCCGGAAGTCCATTTCAAGCATACAATGCTCTCTGCTTACAATTCACCATTAATTAAGAGGCCGATCCGGCATTGTATCCGGGGGGCCTTGTGACAAGGGACATCATCCCCGCGGCGACCAGGTTTGGGCTTCGAGGACGATAAATATATACAATTCCAGTGAGAAGAGAGCACTGTGTTATTCTAAAAGTAGGATAGGCATTGAAGGGATAGCGGCAGATAGCGCGTAAGACGAATCGTTCTTCTTGCGAAAGGTTTTATCGCGACAAAAGGGTATACGCCGACGAAAGAACTAGGAAAATAAAAGGAAAACTGCGCTTAAAGGAAAAGAGGCGCGCGACCCAGCGATTCTCTCGTCGACGGGAAAATGGCACAATGCGAATGAGACGATGCGATGCCGGAGTCTGGGGAATGAAAAAGGAGAACGATTGTACATCTACAAGCAGGAAGAATGCTGCTGAGGGAATGAAATAAATGAAATAGAACCCGTAGACCAAGAATTGGCATGCTGTTAGATAGTATACGACAACTTTAAATCATTGTGTGCGTCGCGCACGACTACCTTCGACGGGCGTTTTGCTCCCACATTTATTTTGAATAATTTCTGTTGGATGCTGGAATTCTAGAAATAAAATATCAACCCACTGCAGTTTGAAATTATAAACGTATTCCTTTATTTGTAGATTTTCACAATTTTTCATTTATTCATTTCTATGTTTCATTGTTATCTAACAGAAATAGCAGAATCAATTGTATTAGAAAAATATTTCTATTAACACAGGAATATAAAGATACACAAATACGAACACGAATCTGCATACATATACAAACTATAATTAACTATAAAGGGGTATTCTGGTCTAGAATTAAAAAAAAATATTTTGGAAAATTTTCAATAGTTGATTCAAGAATGTGTATACAATTTTTTTTTAATTTATATTATTTTCGGAGATTTAACTGCTTAGCCACGACAATCCACCTCTGCGCCTTTCGTCGCGTTTTTTTCATACGATTCCCACGATTTTTCAATTTCTACTGAACTGATTCACTCGCAAATTCTTGTTCTTACTATCTATAGAAAAATCTGGAATATTGAAAAAAGTTATAAAAACGATTTTTTCGGGCAGTCCCTATTTTATGTTAATTTTTTTGACTTTGATTCTAGAATAAGTGTATATAAAATCAATCAAAAATCATAACAAATTTAAATCAATCAATACAATACATTAAAGCTTGGGAATATTGTAAATGCAAATACAATTTGTAGTTAATTTAAAATAAACATTGATATTACAATTACATTGTTTTACAAATCATTGGTGTTTCAAAAAAAATCAATCAAACCAAACAAACAATATATTTCCATATGTGCGAAACCTATATTTGAGTATTTTTAGTACAGTTTAATCCTAACCAAAGCCAACCTTTCGTGTTGTATGAACACCAAAAATATGTTATATCTAAAGTAATTGAAGTGCACTTCACTTATAGACTGATCAGATTACGGTAAAAGACGGTATTTACATAACAGACGGTAAAATAGTCAATGGATGACCTCTACAATATTTTTACCTACAGGAGGAGCATATAAAGGAGTAAAAAACAATACAAAGTAGTTAGAGGAGTTAGATAAGTATCAATTTCAATGGCAATATAGCACATGAAAAGTGCTGTAGAAAATTAAAATAATATGAGTTGTCACGGAGAAAAAATAGTAAAAGTGAAATATTGAACAAACATGAAAAATGAGAAAATATACAAATAACCGTTAAAGCCCGTTGAAGCAAAAAATTTGGACGTGAATAATGACATATGAATTTTTTTTTTAACTCAGTTTATTTAGCAATCAGAAATACATAAAGATTCCTATGAGCTAAAATGACAATATTTTAAGAGCGATGCCTAAGAAGAACTCCAATGAAAATTTCTCAGTTTTACAATTATATGATATTATATTAGACCTAATCGAAGACTAAGTCTAAAGGCCATTTTCGTTTCAATCTCCTCATTCCAAAAGGTTGAGTAATGTCAACTATAGAAGGGTTCGAATGTGAGTCCAGTTTGCGCTTGTATATTTTCCTTGAATTCTTTGAACGTTAATTGCACCGTTTTCATATTGAGGTCGCTGTGAATGGTTTCATTTGTCACGTACCACGCAGAATTAAGAATTGTACGTAAAATTTTTGACTGAGTGAAAATATATATATATATATATATATAATATATAAAATATATGAAAATTAAATAAAGAAAAATTAAATGCGATGCTCGTAATTAAATCGTATCTCAAACTATCACCAGAAAAATGTCACTCAAATTCTTTGCTTCGTTATTACTATAAACTTGTTACAATCATCATCATATCAAACAAAATCCTTCGTAATTATTCATTTATTCACGCACCTGTAACGTTGGCGCTTCATTCCTTAGATCCGGGCGTGTGCCGGGAATATCGGGAACCGTAGTTCGCGGTAATGCATTCCGAATGTCGCGGCGTCTTTCGGGTCGGGTTATATACAATGGGGTTAGTGTGTAGCTTTTGTTCGAACAAAGTACGAGGTCAGGGGCTTATGGGACGGTAACAAACTCCGGGCTGCTTAAGGATATCGAACCCGCCAACCGGAACGGATTTCAATGTCAATAGTGGAGGAAGACGGTCTTAAGATGTCAGCCCTACCCGGGCGGAGTTTGAAAAAACTATGTCAATTTCATTGTATGCGGCTTGTAGGACATTTAAAAAAAAATTGCTCAATTTGGATAAAAAAAAGTACCTTACTTAATTTTAAATTATACCTATTTGTAAATTTGTGCATATAAATAGTACAATATCATTTGTTTTAATATAGGTAATATAGTAGTATAGCTCAGGATTTTCAGAGATTGAAAAGACACAGAATTCAAAATTTCCAGACTCTACATACTAAATAGAACAAGTTATTTTAAACAAACAAACAAATATATATATATATATATATATATATATATATATACACCTAAGTCTGTTATTACACGGTAGATTGGTTCCAGAAGAAGCCGTGTAAAAAAAAACGTGTAAAAAAAGACATTGATCTTATACAAAAATTGGGTGATTTGTTCCTAATCTCTAAGTTCCTATTAAAATCAGTGAAAAACAAGAATTTTTAAGAACAAGAATTCATGTTTATATTATTAAATCAAATATATAATGCTTATTTTCACAAGCATAGTAATTAATGATAAAAAAGATATGCACTCTAATCTTAAAAGTGATATAAATTAAATGTATGGCAAGTTCAGAAACTAAAAAACTATGTTGTGAACGAAAAAAATAGGTAACTATCGATACTATCGATGGTTTCAGACCTTTTTCTTTCATAAATACTTTTTTTGTGATATGAACATACTTCGCAAAAATTAAATTTGACAAAAAAATTTAAGTACATAAAATTTCAAATCGTGCTAAATGGGATAAAATCGTGTAAAAAAATAAAAATATTCAATTTTCAAACCGTGTTATATCAAAACCGTGTACAAAAAGACCGTGTAAAACAGACTTAGGTGTATATATATGATAAAGTAGTATAAATATAATCTAATGAGTAATAAATGGAATAATTTCGATTCTCATATGATATAAATAATATTTTTTTAAACATAAATAGATACTTGTATTATGTTCTAGTAAT